ATGTGCAGATATGTTTAAATGATCTAATATTTGGTAGTTTGAATTATTTATCCATCTTTTTAAAGAGATGCCATCAATCCAAGAACCGAGTTTTGATTTTTTTTTTAGTGTAGTAATGAGTAAAATAATATGGGAGGAGGATTTGACTTGCAGAGTACATGCCTGTTTTGCTTTTCCAAGATTTTGTCATGTATAATCTGAAAGTTTTTTCTTTTTAATTTTTGACTTAGAAATATAAGGAGTAGCAACTGAGTTTCCTGAAGAACTAAATGGAAAATTTAGTGCCAGGTGTTAGTCTTACTTCACAGTAGAAGAAAGTGAGCTGCCGAATGCTTAATGCAGAGCCTTTCTCGGAGTGAAATAGGTATTTAATTTTTTTTTTTGTAAAAGCCATTAAGAATTTAATTTTTCAATCAGGATTCACTTTGCCACTTACTGCTGCAATATTGGTCTTGCTTGTGTTCAATTTGTTAGAAAAACCAAACTGCTGTGGACTTCCGGTATTACATTATGTTTCTAATATCTGCACAGGAAGTTCTAAATTATTAGTATTTGGATGGGGTTTCATACTTTGGATTTAAGCATCTTGGGAAATAACAAAGAACTGAAGCTTCCTGCTGGAAGTTCGCTAGGTAGGCATGTTGTCGACTCTGAATTCATGGTTATACTGTAACTTGTCTGTTTAGGCAGCCTAAAAAGCCCTTACGCATAAAGAAGTTGAGCAGGACCTAATCAAATTTTCCTGTAATGGGTGGTATTATTTTTTCAGGAAACATTCAGTTATTTGCTTTAAATGAACTGTGCAGTTTTTGATTGATATGAAATGGGACATAAGGAATATTTTTTTTTATTCAAGGTAATCCATTGAAAAGGACAGAAGTATTGAGTCTTTTTTTCCTTGCTTTTTTAAAAGGCTGCTATTTGTCATGGCAATCTGCCATTGTATTACCTGTAATCGTGTTCAGCAAACTGAAGTGCAGCCTTGGAGTGTTGGAACACTTCTGCAGCCCTGAGCAGGGCAAACGGTTAGTCCTAGCGTGTGTGATGCTGCTGCGAGGAGAAGTGGGGGCAAAGGTAGACTGCAGATGAAGTCCTGATGGGGCAACAGGTAGATTCCTCTTGAGCAGGAGGTGAAGGGAATGAAGGAAGGGTGACACTCGAGCTAAAGAGTCTGCAAAACTAGGATGGTGTGTGCTTAGGGCAGTCCTGATCCCAGGGAAGGGGGAGGGAAGGGGACGGGAGGAAGGGATGAAGCAAGTGGGAAGGTGCTCACTGGGTTTGGGGTCTGTTAGACCATCAACCGGATGAAAAGTAACAAATTGCCTGGACATCCTGAAAGGGCTTGGTGAAATAACACAGGTTCTGGCCTCAGTGTGTAGCCATTGACTCCAGCCTGTCCTTGTGCCAGAGGAGGGAAGTGGCTGCAGGGATTTTGACTCTTGGAAAGGTCCTGGGGTCTGCAATAAGCACGTCACTGCCTGCGGAACAGTTTTTCCTGATTGGTGAGGGAAGTTGTGTGGTCAATGACTCTGGCAGAAGATCTTTGTAACTTACAGAGATCTTCGCTTACTGTAAGGTGTGTCAAAAAGGAACCAGTTACACCTGAACATGGCAGCTCCGCTTCATCCAGTCTGAATGGCTTTTCAGAAGATGAAGCTCTCATAAAGCACCTCCTTTCACCTCTTAAAGAAACCAGGCTGACCTGGATAGCCTCATATGGACATGTATATAAAAAGCACAGGGTTAGAGTACACGGTCATTTATCGTGGAGCAGGCCTGTCAGTTCTGCTAAAAGAACTCACTTTTCAAGGACTTACCCTGATGGAGATGTTCTGTATCTAAGAAGTTTCCCGCAGGGGTGAAAAAGCCATGCATCTACGTCTTTGATCCCTTTGTTCTCCAAAGCACGGAGCATTCTTTGTTTGTACACACCCCTGATTCAGCCGTGGACCAAAACAAGGCTGTATGAGTCAGGTTTCCTAGATAGGAACATCTGGAAGAGGAGCTCCAGAAGACTTCTAGGGGGAAATGTGGTCGCACTTGTTGGGCTATGAAGAGTACGGAGACAGAGAGAGAGAGAGAATGAGCACAGTGGGTTGGGATCAGGGTATTCTGCACCTCCACAGCATGTTGTACAGCCATCTGTCTCTGAGCTGTGATGCCTGTCAAGCTGCTTGAGGATCTGCTGATTCATGTGCTTTTGGGAGATGGAATTTGGCTCTTCAGGCCACTGCAGTCCTGCTGGCTTGGCTGTGCCAGCAGCCGTGCTGCTGTGTCTTTGTGAACGCACGTGGCACCTTGCGCAGCTGATGGGGATGTCCAGGCCTGAAAGGTTCCTGCTGGTGGGTCTCACTGGGTGGTCTTGTGTCTCCAGGTGCGGGTGAACATCTGTCTGGTGTAAGCCAGTTCCAGGGGGAGCCCTGGGGTGTAACAGAGGGGTGCACACACCATGTAAACACACCATGAAGTGTTGATACTTTCCCCTGGGTACTCTCTTTCCTATCTAAGTAGGTGGTATTGCCAGTCAAAACATTCAGGTCACAATTCGGACTGACACAGATCATGACTGGCGTAAGGAACGCAAAATCTGAAATCATGTGTTGCAGGGCTCAGTGTTTACCTTTTGATACTTGAGCCTTTAATACACCCATAGGATTATACTTTTAAGTTTTTCTCTGTGGTGATGATTTAATTTTAAATTAAACTAGTGAAGGCAAAAGGGGCAGCTAAAAGACTTAGACGCTTGAGGGTGGCATGGAGACACTGGGGCCAGAAGCGAATGTTTACCACCCATCAGCACAGAATTGAGACAGGATGAAAGGAGGCTGGTGGGATTGAACAGCGGCGTGTGGGATGCTCACAGGGTGAGAAGAAACCCTTTATCAACTGAACTTGTGTCCATGTGTAGAAGATGGAAAGAATTAAGATTTCGCAGCTGAAATGTGGAAAAAAAATTAACAAAAAACCCCCAAAAATAATGCAAAGGAAAATGGAATATGAAGAACATTCAAGTCATGAAACTTGCACAAATAGTTTTGAAAAACTCAGGAGCAGGGAGACTGCCACAGCCAGGAGATGTGATGCACAATAAAGGGAAGGTCTGACCTGAAGGTGAAGTCCCAGCAGGAAAACCACAAGTGAATTGTTTGCTTATGTGTTTGCTGTGGAAGAGCTGGGGGAGCTCTGATGGAGTACTTCCATACGGAGAGCTCAACAGAGAATCTGTTTAAAACTGCAGTGCTTTTAGGAGAGATTAAAGTTCAGATGAAATGAGCAGTAACAAGTTGCCACCTATGAGCTCTAAGGGAGCCTGAGGATGAATGAGTGGAGCTACCAGCTGGGATGGTAACCTTTCCCTCGGTACCTGTGGCAAACGTGACAGAAGCTTCTGAAATGAGTTTTAGGGCACGTGCAAACTGCAGCCAAGTGAACATAGCACTCGCTCTTAGCAGATTCATAGATGCTCTGATGCAGCACCAATGGCTAAATATTGGGGAGTGAAGGCAGTTTTTGTACAGGGAGGTCGTGCTCCAAACCTCTATTGAAATTGTTTTAGTGGCATCAACAAGCAGGGGATAAAAGGGATTTTGTTGGTATAGTCTGCTTGAACTTCCAGAATACACTTGATCGTGACTTTGCTCAAGGCACTTAAAGAAAAAAGCTGCTATGGGAAAGGGGGAAACGTCACGTGGACAAACAGGAAAAAGACAGGAGTTAAAGGGAGGTTTTTTTTCAGTGGAGGGAAGTCAATGTTTGGATGCCCAATATATTAAAAAATAATTGAGGAGAAAGTAATGAATCAGGAAAGTGACAACATCCACTGATGAAATTATTCAGTGTAATAATAGTATAATAAAGGCTAAGTGAAGAATTGCAGAAGGATCTTATGAGACAGATTGGTAGGTGAAATTCAGTGTCAATAAATGTTGTGTTGCTTATGGGAAAATATCAAAAGGCGAGCCCTTAGCTGACTCTTTTCACTCTGCAATGAGACCTTTGGTTGTGAAACACAGTCCTGCAGGAACTTCTGCTTGGGGAACAGGAGCGACGGCAGCAGCAAACCAGGCCGAAGGACGGGAGAGCAGACCAGCACCACGGCATAAAGCGGCTGGGTGCCGTATCCTGAGCATGCAGCTCTCACCCTCCATCTCGGAATGGTCTGTGAGGAAAGGGGAAAGGCTCTGGGGCAGGGAACGGGGTCCCTCTGTGGTCTGGAACAGCTACATCAACCACATCTCTGCTCTGGAAGAGAGATGAGTGACAGCGATATAGAATCACAGAATGCTTTGGGTTGGAAGGGACCTTCAGAGGCCATCCAGCCCAACCCCCTTGCTATAAGCAGGGACATCTTCAGCCAGACCAGGCTGCTCAGAGCCCCGTCCAACCCGGCCTGGAATGTTCCCAGGGATGGGGCCTCCACAACCTCTCTGGGCAGCCTATGCCAGGGTTTCACCACCCTCAGCGTAAAACATTTCTTCCTTATATCCAGCCTAAATCTCTCCTCCGTTAATTTAAAACCATTACCCCTTGTGCTGTCGCAACAGGCCCTGCTAAAAACCCTGTCCCCACCTTTCCCACAAGCCCCCTTGAAGCCCTGGCAGGCCGCAGTCAGGTCTCCCCGCAGCCTTCTCCTCCCCAGGCTGAGCAGCCCCAGCTCTCCCAGCCTTTCCTCCCAGCAGAGGGGCTCCAGCCCTCGGATCATTGCTGGGGCCTCCTCTGGCCCCGCTCCCACAGCTCCAGCTCTGTCCTGGGCTGAGGGCTCCAGAGCTGGACGCAGGACTCCCGGGGGGTCTCAGCAGAGCGGGGCAGAGGGGCAGAATCCCCTCCCTCACCCCGTGCCCACGCTGCTGGGGATGCAGCCCAGGGCACGGTTGGCCTTCGGGGCTGCCAGCGCACACTGCCGGGTCCTGGCCAGCTTCTCATCCCCCAGCACCCCAAGTCCTTCTCAGCAGGGCTGCCACCCCACCGAGGGACAACACAGAGAGGTGATCTGTGACGCCATGGTGCCCAAAGACAGGGTTGTAGCTGCTCTGCTCATCCAGCCACACGTGAGCCAGTGGTGACAAGGACGGCTCCTGCTCCACAGCTAGGCAGCTGCAGGTACAAATGGGATCAGATCAAGCAGGAGAAACTCAGGGCTGGAACCAGGAGATTTGGGACAGCGAGAGGAGGGACGCAGGTCACTGGGAGCAGAGAGGAGACACAGCGCGGTGTAAAAATTCAACTGTGCGAGCCCAGGAAACGCTGTGCTGCTCCTCACCCTGCTCCGAAACCAGCCCTGCCTTCCCACCAGCTTCCACCTCACCCCTCGCGCCGAATTCCCTTTGGCAAGCCAGGAGAGGAGAGCACCCGTTCGGATCCTGCCGGTGTTTGTGCCGGGTTCCGTGCAGATCCCCCTCCGCAGCGCAGACGTGGAGCCACCCCCCGACCCTGCCCAGCGTGCCCCCCCCCTTCAGCCCCACCGCCCCTACCCCGCGCGAGATCTTCCCCTTCTTG